TTTCGCCGGTCAACTTTCGCACCTTGTCCTCCAGATGTGTGTTGGTTTTTTCTATTTTTTCCCAGCTGGGGCTCCCGTTGAGTTTTCGACTCTTTCGCCCTGAAACCCCCGGGTTACAGTTGAAAAATTTGGGTTTTAAAATTGTGCTTGATTGCCGCTATTTGGGATTTCCCGCCCCTCTTCTTCCGTTCCCGAGTTGGGAAACCATCAAATCAAGTTCCGGGCAAAAAGAACGGGAAAATATAACAGCATGAAAAATTTTAAAAGTAAAAACAATCTTTGGGAGGGTTGGGTTTATAGCTCTAGACTTGTTGCAATCAATACTTTAAGAGCTTGAAAAGTTGGCCCGAAAAGAAGGGTTTAAGGGCCAAGAAAATATGTTTCAGAGGGAAAATCCGCTTGGACTTCCCCTTTTCTGAAAATTGCAAGGGTCCCGATGGGGTTAAACCAAAAAAGGATTAGGCCCTCATTCAAACTCCTCCTGTGGTTTTTTTGCATCTTGTTTTTGCTTGGTTTTCAATTTTTGCAAAATTATATATCTGTAGTAGGGGGCCTTGCTTCACGGGATTCCCTATTGTGGTGGTTTTTTATTTGCCCGGCTTCCAATCATGTGGCACCGGGTTAAGGTATTATGGGGATTTTTTTTGGGCCCAAAAAGATGGTTTTTTTGGTTTTTACGACTGAAAAAAGAGATGGTTTTGAATGGTTTTGGCTAGAAAAATAGCTTGAAATTTAGCCAAGTAAAAAGAAATTTTTCCCCTTTTTGTCAATTTTCCCGAGGGGCAGGGCCCAAGGGGGTTTTACCCAAACCCCCGTCTGGTTTATGGGTTGTTAAAAGGCTTAATTTAATTATTGGTAGGCTGTTTAAACCCTGACAAATCATTCCTGGTTATAATTTTTTTACCCAAGGGAAAAAGAGTAAAAAAATTATTTTTGGTGAAAAAGAAAAACAAAAGTTTTTTCTTTTAAAATTTAGTAATATATACAGGAAAGGGGTTATTAGCCCCTTGCTCCCGGCATTTTAGTCGCCTCTTACGACACGCATGGCTTACGGAGGAAGAATTCTGTTCCACTTGCCCATAAAGATAAGAAGAAATAAACAAAATAGAAGAAAACCCAGAGGGGTGTGTATACATGTGTATATATATACTTGTACATATATGTGTAGTGTGACCTAAGTGTAAGTAGAAGTAGCAAGACGTACCTGAAATCTGGCATGTTTATGAGACAGAAAAAAGACACAAGCAATCCTACCATCATGTAAAATAATCCTACCATCGTGTAAAACAATCCTACCATCATGTAAAACAATCCTACCATCATGTAAAACAATCCTACCATCATGTAAAACAATCCTACCATCATGTAAAACAATCCTACCATCGTGTAAAACAATCCTACCATTGTGTAAAACAATCCTACCATCGTGTAAAACAATCCTACCATTGTGTAAAACAATCCTACCATCGTGTAAAACAATCCTACCATTGTGTAAAACAATCCTACCATCATGTAAAACAATCCTACCATCATGTAAAACAATTACAGGAAGATAAACATATACAATAGAACCCCCTGATATGTTCCAAGGACCTGGCCTGGATAGTAGTAAACCCCATATATAAGGATTATACATACCTATTATAAAGTTTAATTGATAAATTAGTCACAATAAGTGGAGAATTATCACTTTTCACTGATGGGAAGCACTTCACAGCTTCTCTTAGACTTTGAACAACTGTCACTACTTATGCACTTTGGGGCAATTATTATGCAAAATTAAGAGGCATTTCTGGGCCACAGTAAACCATGGATAACTAAACCTCGGATACCGAATCAGTGGATGCAGGGGTTCCACTGTATTTTTAATTTTTTGGACATTTAGAGCAAATTTCACTTCAGGCATCCCAATAATGAAGAGGTTAATGGACACTCAAACAATCTTGTCTATTTGACCATTATAACGAGAGTTTACTCTGTAAATTAACAGTGATAAGTGCTATAGTGGTAAAGGATTACAGTGGTACCTTGACTTACGAGTGCCCCAACTTACGAGTTTTCCGAGTTACAAGCCATCGCTCAGTCAGTTTTCTGCTTTGAGTTGCGAGCGAAAATCCAAGTTACGAGCAAGCTTCGGATACGCTGCCTCTAGTTGGCAGCTTATCTGAAGCCAAATCCACCTCTGTACCCAGAGGAATGCCAGGTACTTCGTCCCATCCCACTTGCTCTTCCAAGACATAACTGGAAGGATAATACTCCCACACTAATCCCAGATTGTAGTGAGGCACCTTGTCCCTTGTTTGGTTCTCATATAAATCCGGGGAAGAGGTAACCTCTATTTCAACACTCAAAGAGTTTTTCCAAAACATTAAGGAAGGCCTATGTGATATTTACCTGCCTCACAGAGGTTCCTTCAGTGGGTGGAGTACTGACAGTGGTAGGTGAAGCAATGATGGTGGTGTGGAGTAGTGATGGTGGTGGGTGGACTAGTGATGGTGGTGGATGGAGTAGTGATAGTGGATGGAGTAGTGATAGTGGTGGGTGTAGTAATGGTGATGGGTGGAGTAGTGATGGTGGTGGGTGGAGTAGTGATGGTGGTGGATGGAGTAGTGATAGTGGTGGTTGTAGTAAAGATGGTGGTGGGTGGAGTAGTGAGGGTGGTGGGTGTAGTAGTGATAGTGATGGGTGGAGCAGAGATGGTGGTGGGTGGAGTAGTGATGGTGGTGGGTGGAGTAGTGATGGTGTCAGCATAGTTGCTGATCCCCTGTATATGTATATGTTATCTGAGTATCATAGTACCATCCATATGTTTTACATAGTTGACCCCTTGCTAGGCTCAGTGGCTAGCATGTGTGACATCACGTGATGCCGCAAGTGAGCATTGGGCGCTCTGCCTCTTCCTCACTTCACACGTAGACCTACAGGCAACAGGACAGGCAGGCTGGGCTCCCCTTCTCACACTCTGTTAATATAAGTGTTACCATCCAACCATCATATCTCCACGAACCCTCTCAACAAATGGTGGCTGCGGTGGGATGCTGCATGGTGGCTAGGCCTACTGGATAAGCAGCATAACCCATGTGCTCTGGGTACACCCACACTAGGCACGAAAATATTCTAATCCAGGCTGGCTTAAAAACCCACAAAATACCACAACACCACAGGGATGGTATAAACACTCAGGACGGCTTGGAACTGGAAGCACAAAGCGATGGTGAAGGCTGGAACTCACGTGGCTTGCTTGAGTACTGGGTTTAGTCACCTGGGTTAGTTCAGATCTCCTTCAGTCAAGGCATGTGTTAGCCATTGCAAAAGAATTCAATCCTCGCAAAGATGATAACCATTCTGCATGTGTAAATATTACCTTCACAGAGTTGGGTTTAAATGTACATAGCCTGTACAATTAGATGTCCAAGATGAATGAAGTTGTCAACTGTGTGTTTATTATTAGCTGATCAGTTTTCAGATTTTTTTTTTTTGTGTGTGTGTTCACGTTCCCTCCGAATTCTGAGATTTAGCGGTATGACCTGAGTGCGTCTGGTCTGTCTTTGCTGTTAATTACTTTCACCTTTGTAAATGTACATATTCTTCCTCAGAATCCATAGAGTGCATGAATACAGATCGCCAATCAATTCCGTCTTTTATTATATAGTGGACCCCCGCATAACGATCACCTCCGAATGTGACCAATTATGTAAGTGTATTTATGTAAGTGCATTTGTACGTGTATGTTTGGGGGTCTGAAATGGACTAATCTACTTCACAATATTCCTTATGGGAACAAATTCGGTCAGTACTGGCACCTGAACATACTTCTGGAGTGAAAAAATATCGTTAACCGGGGCTCCACTGTACTATGATTTGTTCTTATAATTTGTAATGCATTATGTTACCACCCATTACAATGCCATCCATTAGTTCTAAGTTACATATGTCTTTGCTATTGTATAGAATCAGTCCAGAGCCACCTGCCTGTTCAGCCTATAACATAGTATGGTATGTCGAGACGACATAAGTAACATGACCAAGCTGTCAGCATAGTTGCTGAACCCCTGTATATGTATATGTTATCTGAGTATCATAGTTAGTACCATCCATATGTTTTACATAGTTGACCCCTTGCTAGGCTCAGTGGCTAGCATGTGTGACATCATGTGATGCCGCATGTGAGCGTTGGGCGCTCTGCCTCTTCCTCACTTCACGCGTAGACCTACAGGCAACAGGACAGGCAGGCTGGGCTCCCCTTCTCACACTCTGCTAATATAAGTGTTACCATCCAACAAGTGTGTTTATCTCCAACCATCATATCTCCACGAACCCTCTCAACAATGGTGGTGGATGGAGTAGTGATAATGGTGGGTGGAGTAGATATGGTGGTGGGTATAGTAGTGAGGATGGTGGTTGTAGTAGAGATGGTAGTGGGTGGAGTAGTGATAGTAGTGGATGGATTAGAGATGGTGGCGAGCGTAGTAGTATTGGTGGTGGGTGGAGTAGTGAGGGTGGTGGGTGTAGTAGTGATAGTAGTGGGTATAGCAGAGATGGTGGTGGGTGGAGTAGTAATGGTGATAGGTGGAGTAGTGAGGGTGATGCTTGTAGTAGAGATGGTGGTGGGTGGAGTAGGTGATAGTTGTGGGTGGAGTAGTGATAGTAGTGGGTGGAGTAGAGATGGTGGTGAGTGTAGTAGTAATGGTGGTGGGTGTATTGATAGCAGTGGGTGGAGTAGCAATAGTAGTGGGTAGTGAAGGTGGTGGGTAGTTATAGTGGTGGGTAGAGTAGTGATAGTGGTGGGTGGAGTAATGATAGTGGTGGGAGGTAGTGAGGGTGGTGGGTGGAGTAGTGATAGTGGTAGGTAGAGTAGTGAAGAGTGTAGCAAATAAGTTAAGCTAGATTAAGCTTATCTCCTCTGCCTGTCTTTTCCAGCCTCCACCTCCACCAGCATCTTTCGTCAGCCCAAGCTGTCTGATCTCCAAGGTAAATACACATTATAAAACAAGTTTATTTCTTTACATTCTCTTTTTCATGTTTTATTATGTTTTTATACAATATTTCTTATTTATAAATACATTTTTCATATTTAAAAACCAGTAACAAAAAAACTGGGATGGTTTTTGGGGGGCTGGAACGGATTAATGGCATTTCAAATAATTTCAATGAGGAAAATTTATTTGACATACAAGCAAATTGAGTTACAAGCTCAGTCACGGAACGAATTAAACTCATAAGTCAAGGTACCACTATACTAGGTTTGATCCAAGGAAGGGGATGGAAGCTCCATTTCCTTACAACAAAGTTGTGGTAATATGTTTACCTGAACACCTGCATCCTTCTCTTCCAGCTCCTGTTGTCTGACTTGTAACTCCTGTTGAACAGTGTGTAGTTCCTGTTGGTTGGCTTGTAGTTCCTGTTGTAAGGTATGTAGTTCCTGTTCCTTCCCTAGTAGTTCCTGTTGGTTTGCCTGCAGTTCCTGTTGGGTGGCTTGTAGTTCCTGTTGTGTGGAGTGCAGTTCCTGTTGCATGGAGTGTAGTTCGTGGTGCCAGCGATCTCTCTCCTCGTCCAGCTGCCGCTCCAGCGTCGTTGTCGCTTGTTTACATCGCTCAGCCTCAGCCTCCTTGGCCTGTAGTTCCTCAAAGAGTTGTTTCTTGGTCTCGGCCATGCTGAGTGCCGAGGACTCCATGCTCGTCCTTAACGACTCCAGTTCTCTAACATGATCCTCCTGAGAACAGTAAGAATGTAACACACAACTGACTGTAAAGTGGAACTTTATCAGAGAACTGACTGTATATAGTGGAACTTTATCAGAGAACTGACTGCATATAGTGGAACTTTATCAGAGAACTGACTGTATATAGTGGAACTTTGAGAGAACTGACTATATACAGATCTTTATAATATAATGTAATAATAGAGAATATAGACAAGAAAGAGTGTAAGCAAGAATGACCTTTATAAGATCAATCAGCTTAAGCTTGTCGTGCAGCTGGGTGGTGGCCAGGTCACGTTCTTGTGTCAGCAGTGCGATGCGTTCCTTGTTGCCACGAATGTTGTCCATACAACGTGCCAGCAGTGATTTGTGCTTTGCAACATCACCTGCAACAACAGCACAGTACAAGATGTTGAAATTACAACATCAACTGTAAGCTTTGTAAAGCTTATGTAAATGCTGAAGGTAGTAGACTACCAGCTTAGTACTACTACTACTGTTGTAACTACTTATACTGATGATAGTACACTACTAGCTTAGTACTACTACTACTGTTGTAACAACTTATACTGATGATAGTACACAACCAGCTTAGTACTACCACTACTGTTGTAACAACTTATACTGATGATAGTACACAACCAGCTTAGTACTACCACTACTGTTGTAACAACTTATACTGATGATAGTACACTACCAGCTTAGTACTACTACTACTGTTGTAACTACTAATACTGATAATAGTATACTACCAGCTTACTTCTGCCACAGTAGTAGTAGTATTTACTTATACTGATAGTAAACTATAAGTTTAACTACAAAATGGTCATTACTACCCATTACAGAGGACAAATAGTCAACTATCATCTTGTGTGTTTTATATTCTTATTAACAGTGAGAGGACTAGGGTGGTAATGAGCTTTGATCAAGAGCTCCTCAGGGTGTGGTAGTGGTCTTGTGAGACCTAGCAGAAGCCACTTCTGAAACCAGTGTTGAATTATCAGGGATGTGATTCACCCAAGATTACAGGTTTGATCCTAGGAAGGGGAAGACAGGTCTGCATTCTTGGATCAAGAGCCCCTGGGTGGCGCCAAGATGACGTCGCTGAGGCTGCATACCTTTCAGTTTCTCGATCATTTCCTCGGCCTCGATGTTGACAGTGACAGAGGTCGACGCCGACCCATGCGATGCCACTGACACGTTGTCTGCCATGGACACATCTGCCGTCGACACACTCTCCGCAGTCGACACATTGTCCGCCCCAGACGAGGCATCGCCAGCTGACACACTGTCGCCATCGCCCAGGTGGTCGTCCGGGGAGGCGACAGTCAACTGGATGTTGTTGTTGCTGCTGACAACACCAGCAACGCTGTTCAAGTCACCAGTGATGCCCTCCTGCAAGATCTTTACCTGCAACGTAAACGACACTAATCAAAGCACGTGACGACAACAGCACTACGCTATACAGGTCCTCAACTTACCATGGTGTTGAGTTCCCACCAACCTGTCCTAAGTTGAAGAGCTCCTGTATAACCTACAAGAGGAAGAGCTAAATCCAAGTGGGCCATAAAGCACCTCAGCAATGGTAGGTAATCACATCTGATCCAAGGAGAGGGAGACAGTCCCTCCAATACACTGGATCAAGATCCACTCAGGAAATTATCCCAGAATCCTGTACATTAATACATCGTATACAATATACTGAATTTCCTACAACAACAACAACAACGATTGTATATAGTGGAACTTTATAAGAAAAATGACTGTATACAGTGAAACTTTATAAGAAAACTGATTGTATATAGTGGAACTTTATAAGAAAACTGACTGTATACAGTGGAACTTTATAAGAGAACTGACTGTATATAGTTGAACTTTATAAGAGAACTGACTGTATATAGTTGAACTTATAAGAGAACTGACTGTATATAGTGGAACTTTATAAGAGAACTGACTGTATATAGTTGAACTTATAAGAGAACTGACTGTATATAGTTGAACTTATAAGAGAACTGACTGTATATATAGTAGTCCATCTCTAATTATAAATAACATATATTAGACAAATAACATATATTAGACAAATTCCATCAATTAAATCATGTAAGGCTTCTGCAACATTGTGCATCAATCATGCAAGACTATTGCAACACTGCTTGTGCATCATGCAAGGCTACTGTAACACTGTGCATCATGCAATACTGTTGCAACACTGCAATGTTAATCATGCAAGGCTACTGCAAAACTGTACATCAGTCATGCAAGGCTGTGGCAACACTGCATGTGCAACATCCTGCAAGACTAATGTAACACTGTACATCATGCAATATCATGCAAGACTACTGCAACACTTCTTGTGCAACATCAACACAAACATGACTGACCCATGGTTCAGGCAAGAACATTCAATATATTGTTCCCTCCAGGTTGAACATGAGAACACAGCTCTGACTGAGGTCTAAGGCTTGCACAGGCCTAGAGGAAAGTAGGCCGATGGGTATGCCTAATCTTGGATAATTGTTAAAGTTACAACTTTGAGAGGAAGAGTTGAGAATCACTCTTCAACTCTCAGTTCAGAGTGAATGACCCGGGATGAGCCACAACTGTGTTGGTCCTCTTATACAGCTGCTCTATATATACACTTCTGCACTGCAAACTGAATTGTTTGCAATCCTAATGGCACTAAAGCTAACTTATAACACTGAGCCTGACTCCATCATTATTGATTCTATGTCATCACTGAAGGCTCTTAACTCATATAATGACTCCAACAATATGCTCAATGGAGAAGCCAGGTATAGATACTCAAAAATCCGGGACAAAGGAATTAATGTACAATTGGTATGGATCCCATCACACATTGGATTACTCCTTCATGATAAAGTTGATATGTTAGCCAAGAAGAGTACCCAGAAGGAGAATGTAGAATATAACTTTGGTATAACTGTGTCTAGCATTAGGAATAATATTAGGAGAGAAGTAAATAATGAAAATTATTGTTATAGGAATGCGTTAGAAGCCTGAGTAGATTATAAACCCACTATGATAACATGAACGTAGAAAGTATGTTTATGGAGCAACGTGCAATGTAAACACTGACTGATGTTGTAGTGGCCAGGCTTAGGCTTGGTTACAAGTACTGACTGATGTTGTAGTGGCCCAGCTTAGGCTTGATTACAAGTACTGACTGATGTTGTAGTGGCCAGGCTTAGGCTTGGTTACAAGTACTGACTGATGTTGTAGTGGCCAGGCTTAGGCTTGATTACAAGTACTGACTGATGTTGTAGTGGCCAGGCTTAGGCTTGGTTACAAGTACTTCTGGCAGTTTGGGAGACACACAGATGATGATCAAACTAAATGTAAATTATGTGATCAGACATATGGTCACTCTCTTGAACACTATGTGCTTAATTGTCCACTTATTGAGGAATACAGAGACAGACAGTATAATAACCTATGTGACATGTCAAGATATCTTATTAATGAAAATAAGATACCAGATATACTACGTAAATTTCCTAAATTTGCTTCTAACAGATAATGAACTGTAGATATGTAGATATAAATCCAAATGTACACCTGTTAACCTTTTTGAGGCCTAGTTCCTAGGCCTATTGTGTATCCATATGCTCTTGTGCTACCGTCCATAGGATGGATATGAGGTGCACAATAAACTAGCCACTTCAGTAGCAAAATCTAAATTTAAAATCTATACACACTAATCTTATATAGCTCCTCATTATACAATCAGTTCTCTTACATAGCTTCACTATATACAGTCAATTCTCCTATAAAGTTCCACTATATACAGTCAGTTCTCCTGTAGTTCCACTATATACAGTCAGTTCTCCTGTAGTTCCACTATATACAGTCAGTTCTCTTATAAAGCTCCTCTATATAAAGTGTTTCTTTGAAAGAGCAACTGACAAACCTGAACCATGTGCTGAAAGGCCTTCTTAACACACACTACATAGAGGAGCTTTAAGTCGACCTCATGCCACATTTCTCTGAACGATGGGTTGGTCAATACTGTACCAGGGTGTTGTCACAAACAAAAAGGTACAATACTGTGACTGGAATGATACTCGAACTCGCATACGAGACAACAAAACCTTATGACCATGATGTGGTACAATTTGCATCATTAACTAGTTACACAGCAGTGAGAAGGGAAGGTAGGCAGTGTATGAGTGAGGGAAGGTAGGTAGTGTATGAGTGAGGGAAGGTAGGCAGTGTATGAGTGAGGGAAGGTAGGCAGTGTATGAGTGAGGGAAGGTAGGCAGTGTATGAGTGAGGGAAGGTAGGTAGTGTATGAGTGAGGGAAGGTAGGTAGTGTATGAGTGAGGGAAGGTAGGCAGTGTTATGAGTGAGGGAAGTTTGGTTGTGTATGAGTGTAGGAAGGTAGGCAGTGTTTTGAGTGGGGAGGTAGGCAGTGTAATGATGAGGAAGGTAGGAGTTTGATGTTAAATGAGGGAAGGTAGGTAGTGTATGAGTGGGGGAAGGTATTAGTGTATGAGTGAGGAAGGTAGGCAGTGTATGAGTGAGGAAGGTAGGCAGTTATGAGTGAGGGAAGGTAGGTATGTATGAGTGAGGGAAGTAGGTAGTGTATGAGTGAGGGAAGTAGGTAGTGTATGGTGGGGAAGGTAGGTAGTGTTATGAGTGAGGGAAAGGTAGGTAGTGTATGATGAAGGAAAGTAGGTAGTGTATTGTTGGGGGGTAGTTTTTGTGTAAGAGTGAGGGGAAAATAGGTATGTTGAGTGAGGGGAAGGTAGGTATGTGTTTTGAGTGAGGGAAGGTAGTTAGTGTATGAGTGAGGGAAGGTATGTGTGTATGAGTGAGGAAGTAGGTGTGTTGGTGAAAGGGGAAAGTAGTAGTGTAGAGTGAGGAAGGTTTGGTAGTGTAATGAGTGAGGGGGTTGTAGTTTATGAGTGAGGGAAGGTGGGAGTGTATGAGTGAGGGAAAGTAGGTAGTGTATGATTGAGGAAAGGGAGGTAGTTGTATGAGTGAGGGAAGTAGGTGTGTATGAGTGAGGGAAGGTAAAGGGAGTTTTAGAGTTAAGGAAGGTAGTAGTGTATGAGTTAAGGAAGGTAGGTAGTGTATGAGTGAGGAAGGGTAGGTATTGTATGAAGGTGAGGAAAGGTATGTGTGTATGAGTGAGGAAAGTAGGTAGTGTATGATTGAGGGAAGGAGGTAGTGTTATGAGTGAGGGAAAGTAAGTAGTGTATGAAGTGAGGGAAGGTAGGTAGTGTATGAGTGGGGAAGGTAGGTAGTGTATGAGTGAGGGAAGGTTAGGTAGGTGTATGATTAAAAGGAAAGGTAGGTAGTGTATGAGTGAGGGAAGGTAGGTTAGTGTATGTAGTTAAGGAAGGTAGGTAGTGTATGAGTTAAGGAAGGTAGGTAGTGTATGAGGAGGGAAGGTAGGGTAGTGTTATGAGGAGGAAGGTAGGTAGTGTATGAGTGAGGGAAGGTAGGTAGTGTATGAGTGAGGGAAGGTAGGTAGTGTATGAGTGAGGGAAGGTAGGTAGTGTATGAGTTAAGGAAGGTAGGTAGTGTATGAGTGAGGGAAGGTAGGTAGTGTATGAGTGAGGGAAGGTAGGGAGTGTATGAGTGAGGGAAGGTAGGTAGTTGTATGAGTGAGGGAAGGTAGGGAGTGTATGAGTTAAGGAAGGTAGGTAGTGATGAGTGAGGGAAGGTAGGGAGTGTATGGGGTGAGGGAAAGTAGGTAGTGTATGAGTGAGGGAAGGTAGGTAATGTATGAGTGAAAGGGGAAGGTAGGTAGTGTATGAGTGAGGGAAGGTAGGAGTGTATGATTTAGGGAAAGGTAGGTTTGTGATGAGTTAAGGAAGGTAGGTAGTGTATGAGTGAGGGAAGGTAGGTAGTGTATGAGTGAGGGGAAAGGGAGGTTGTGTATGAGTGAGGGAAGGTAGGTAGTGTATGAGTGAGGGAAGGTATGTGGTAGAGTGAGGGAAGGTAGGTAGTGTATGAGTGAGGGAAGGTAGGTAGTGTATGAGTGAGGGAAGGTAGGTAGTGTATGAGTGAGGGAAGGTAGGTAGTGTATGAGTTAAGGAAGGTAGGTAGTGTATGAGTGAGGGAAGGTAGGCAGTGTATGAGTGAGGGAAAGTAAAGGGAGTGAAAGAGTGAGGGAAGGTAGGTAGTGTATGAGTGGGCGGAAGGTAGGTAGTGTATGAGTGAGGGAAGGTAGGCAGTGTATGAGTGAGGGAAAGGGAGTAGTGTATGAGTGAGGGGAAAGGGAGTAGTGTATGAGTGAGGGAAGGTAGGTAGTGTATGAGTTAAGGAAGGTAGGTAGTGTATGAGTGAGGGAAAGTAGGTAGTGTATGAGTGAGGGAAGGTAGGTAGTGTATGAGTGAGGGAAGGTAGGTAGTGTATGAGTGAGGGAAAAGGGAGGTAGT